GGTTCACAGTGAGCAGAATGTTGTCTTCAAAGAAACTGTGTTTCCATTCAGCAGTTTGAAAGAGCAGCACACACCAATTTTCCTTGATACATCACTGAATGATCCCGATGATATGGAGGCTGATGTGGGATTTGATATGCAGAAAATAGGGAATATTGATTTTCAACAACAAGATATTGATGTAGCTGATAACGCAAATGATGAAATATTACCAGACATAACTCATGGTGATTAGACGATTCATGTCTTACCTAGAGCCTCAACTAGAAAATCTCATCCACCTGTTTGGATGAAGGATTATGTTACTACTGTCACCGACTCTATGTATCCTTACTCATTAGGTAATTATGTGTCTTATAATCAGTTATCCACTTCTTATCAAGCCTACTTGAGTAACATGATTGCAGAAGTTGAGCCCCAGAATTATGACCAAGCTGTCAAGGATGAAAGATGGGTAGAAGCCATGAAGCAAAAAATTGCTGCACTTGAAGACAATGGCACTTGGACAATAGTGAAGCTACCACCAGGCAAGAAGGCAATTGGGTGTAAGTAGGTGTTCAAGATCAAGTACAAAACAACTGGTGAAATTGATAGATTTAAAGCCAGGCTTGTGGAAAAAGGATACAGCCAAATTGAAGGGATTGACTATCAAGAAACATTTTCACCTATAGTGAAAATGGTTACTGTGAGGTCTATAATTGCTATTGCAGCTGCTGAAAATTGGATGATATACCAGATGGATGTGTTCAATGCTTTTTTGCAAGGAGATTTGATTGAAGAAGTATATATGGACATGCCTAAAGGTTTTTCTAGAAAGGGGGAACAACAAGTCTGTAAGCTTAGAAAGTCATTATATGGCCTCAAACAAGCCTCTAGACAATGGAATGCAAAATTGACAAATGCCTTGTCCAAATCAGGATACACATAGAGTCATCTAGATTATTCTTTGTTTACCAAAAGAAAGGGTTCAGCATTGGTGATTGTGTTGGTATATGTGGATGACTTATTGATCACAGGAAATGATCTTGCACTTATTCAAGAGACCAAACAAGTATTACATTCTCATTTCAAAATCAAGGACTTGGGAGAATTAAAATATTTCCTTGGTATTGAGTTTTGTAGATCAGCACAAGGAATCTTAATGAACCAAAGAAAATATGCCCTAGAACTAGTACCTGAGAATGGTTTAGCAGGTTCCAAACCATCAGCAACACCTTTGGAAAGTAATATGAGACTTACAAGTGTTGATTTCATTCAAGATGACAATGATGAATTGTTTACTGACATAAGCAAGTATCAAAGACTGATTGAAAAACTATTGTACCTCACAAACACTAGGCCTGACATAACTTTCTCAGTTCAAAGCTTAAGTCAGTTTTTTACAAAAACCAAAATTATCACACTAGAATGCAGTTTTGAAGGTAGTCAAATATATCAAAATGACACCAGGACTGGGGTTGCTTATGAGTGCTGAAAAACAGCCACAATTCACTGGTTTTTGTGATGCAAATTGGGCTGCATTCCCTACTACCAGAAGATCAGTAACAAACTATTTGTTGAAATATGGAAAGTCATTGATAGCATGGAAGTCGAAGAAGCAACAAACAGTCTCCAGAAGCTCTGCTGAAGCAAAATATAAGAGCCTAGCTACATTGACAGCTGAAGCAGTTTGGGTATCTAATCTGTTTAAAGAGCTAGGATTTCATGTGAATGAACCAACTACCATATATTGTGATAGCAAGGCTGCCATTCAAATAGCGGTAAATCCTGTTTTTCACGAAAGAACAAAGCACATCGAAATTGATTGGCACTTTATTCAAGAGAGAATACAACAAGGGTTGATCAAGACAAGCTACATCAATACAAAAGACCAACAAGCTGATTTGTTGACAAAAGCTTTAGAAAGGTCTCAACATGATTTTTTGTTAGCCAAGCTAGGTGTCTTGAATGTCTTCAGTACACCTAGCTTGAGGGGAATATTGTAGATAGGCATGTGAATGAATTAATAAGAGATTAAGTAATTAGTTGTAATTAGTTTTTTGGAGTTAATTAAATGTAACTACTTTCAGTTAGTTAGTTAGAATAGTAGTTAGTTACTGTAGCTTGCATAAATAGAGGATTATTCCTCATTGTAAAGTCAGTTTGTGAGTAATACAAAATTCTAGAAATTTCCCAAATCTTTTCTTCACGCTCTGTACATTTCTTCAATTTTTCTATGAATATTATCTTGGATAGTTCAACACTTGTAACTGTTTGTAAGTTAATAATAAACGAGCTACACATTAAATTAAAGAAGATATCAATTATTTGATTAAAATGATAACGACATTATTACTTAAAGGTAATATTACAAGGTTCTCCACATTATAATCAAGCAAAATAGCAAATCATTTGTACATTGATCAACGTGAATCATATTGTTATAGAATAACAAAAAGTCTCACATTGATGGTTAATGAGATGGATGTACTCTTTATAAGGTTTGGACAATCCTTCTCTCTTTGAGCAAACTTTTAGGGTGTGAGTTAGGCCCAAAACTTAATTTCATATAGTATCAGAGAAGGATCCATCTTACCTAATGTTGGGAACCCAAAACAAAATTGATTACACATAAGCACTGAGTGTGAGGTGGGCCGTTAAGATAACAAAAAATTCCACATTACCCAATGTTGGGGCCCTCAAAATCAAAAATTGTCCACGCATCGGATACTAAGCACTAAACGTGAGGTGGGGTGTTAAAAAATAACAGAAAGTCCCACATTACCCAATGTTGGGGACCCCAAAATTAAAAATTGCTCACGCACTAGATCCTAAACACTGAGCTTGAGGTGGATGTTAAAGAATAACAAAAAGTCTCACATTGATGATTAATGAGATAAATGTACTCCTTATAAAGTTTGGGTGATTCTCCTCTATTTGAGCTAGCTTTTGGGGTGTGAGTTAGGCCCTACACTTAATTTCACATGGTATTAGAGCAGGACCCATCTCACCCAATGTTGGGCCCCCAAAGTCAAAAACTCCCCCCGCACCTAATGCTAAGCATTGAGCGTGAGAAGGGGTGTTAAAAGAATAACAAAAAGTCCCACATTACCCAATGTTGGGGTCCCAAAATTAAAAATTGCCCATGCACATGATGCTAAGCACTGACGTGAGATGAGATGTTAAAGAATAACAAAAAGTCCTACATTACCCAATGTTGGGGCCCTCAAAATCAAAAGTTGTTGACGCACTAGATGCTAAGCACTGGGCGTGAGGTGGGTGTTAAAGAATAACAAAAAGAGTGTGAGGTGGGGTGTTAAATAATAACAAAAGATCTCACACTACCCAATGTTGGGGCTCCCAAAATCAAAAATTGCTCACGCACCAGATGCTAAGTACTGGGCGCAAGGTGGGGGTTTTAAAGAATAACAAAAAGTCTCACATTACCCAATGTTGGGCCCCTCAAAATAAATAATTACTCACACACCAGATACTAAGCACTGGGTGTGGGGTGGAGTGTTAAAGAATAACAAAAAGTCTCACATTGATGGTTTAATGAGATGGATGAACTCCTTATAATTAAGATTTGGATGATCCTCCTCCCATTGAGCTAACTTTTAGGGTGTGAGTTAGGCCTAAGACCTAAATTCACACATATGAATGGCTTTTAGCCTCATATATGTCATGCTAAAATGAGCAAAACTTTCAACAAACATAAGTTATCTCCCAAGTGCTTGTTTACGAAGCTTGATGACTAGTTCAAATAAAATAAACTTGAAATTTAGGGATAGTATTAAGAATTTAAATTTACAAAAGTGAAATTTAAAAACAAAACGTATAAAGTAAAACTAGGAAACAGTATTTGGAGCTAGTGAATCTTGTACTATGATTTACTCAAACTCTAGAAAAAATTTAAAGTTTGGACTGATAAATTCTCAAACTTCATGATATATACTATATAGTTTCCTGAATTTTATATGTAGTTTTGTACTTTAGGACACTGTTCTAAAGTGTTATGTTACGATAGTTGAATTCCATGACAAATTAAATTCTCAAACTTCATGATATATAGTATATAGTTTCCTGAATTTTTATATGTAGTTTTGTACTTTAGGACACTGTTCTAAAGTGTTATGTTACGATAGTTGAATTCCATGACAAATTTTCTTTTAATGTTGTTCAACTTCGAGCACTAGGACATTGTTTTCGTACTGGTCAACGATCTTTGCTATAGCAAAAGGGCCTCGCTATAGTGAAGAGCCTCCCTATAGCGAAGACTCGCTAAATTGAAACTTTGTTTTATTTTCTTATGTGGCTTTTAAGAGTTTTATTCTATTTTCGATAAGATTTCTTCTAAGGTCGTTGTCGGACTTACTATGAGAGAAAAAGGCTTAAGAGATGGGGGAAAAGATGAATACTCCTAAACTTGATTAGTGACATGTTCTACATTGTTGAGTTAGGAGGGATAACATTTTTATAAAGCCTACAGGATCGGGAATGAAAGTGTTGACTTTAAAAATGCTCTAAGCAGAATATTATAGCGTATTGCATTTATTATGTGTTGTGATTTTATAATTTAACTTTAAAATTAAAAAATTGAATGAGATGTTTGAAAATTACATAGGGTTTAAAGACTAGAGTCAATTGAGAAATTAATTTAAAGTAGTCTATTTGTATTGATTTCGGAAGTAGTAATAGTGATATTATGCTCGGTAATGTTCATAATAATGAAGATGTTATTTAATGATCTTGATGCTCTAGTAGGTTAAATCAAGAGTATAGTAAACAAATGATTGTCATAATATGTTAACGAACAAATGTGTTCTGCATCTATTTTAATAATAAATATTTATAAAAATATGTAAGTTTAATAAAAAAAATAATTACTGATTTGTTTTCTGTTACTATTTTCATTCATAACTCACCATACAAAGTTTTGTACAAGTAATTGGTATCTAAAGGTTGTGCCAAAATTGATAAAAACCAAACTTTGTGTATCAACAATTGGATGGCCCAACTCCAAATAATCTCATTAATTCCCATCATTTTTCCCCAACGTTAGTGTCTCCTCTAATCCCTTAACATCCACCGCTCCTCATTCTGGCATGGAGGAGCGGTCACCACCTGCAGCGGGCGGCAAAGCCAGAAATCTCCTTTCATCAGCCACATCGCTTCGCCTCTCTCTAACACCGGCTCGTTCACAAGATCATACCTACGTTGTTCAAATCCCTCGTGATCAAGTTTATCGTGTCCCTCCTCCTGAAAATGCCAAAATTGTTGAAAATCATCGACAACCAGAGGCTCAAAAGAAAAGGAAATGTACATGTTGTTGTTGGATGTTTTCAGCGTTATTACTTATAGGTATTGCGATTGGAATCATCGTGTTGATTGTTCACACAATGTACACACCTAAATCTCCTGAATTTTCAATTATTAATGTTCATTTCAAAAACGTTACACAACCTTCAAATGGACAAAAGAATAAGAGTCATCCAGTCCCTCAATTTGAGATCGATTTGAGAATCGTTAACATTAATGAGAGAATGGAGGCTTCTTTTGGTAAAGGTGATAATGGAATAGCGGCTCTTAATTTTAAGAATCATGAAATTGGACATGGGAAATATACCGCGATTTCTCAACAACCTAAAGATTCAACAAATTCTCAATTTAATCTTGATGCTGGGAAATTACCTGCTGATTTTCAGAAAAGTCTTAATGATGACAAGAAGGCGATACCAATGACTTTAACTATTAATGCACCAATGGAGATTACGAGCTGGGCAAAAACATTGAAAAAAGAAGTGACTGTTACGTGTGATTTCGACGTTGAATCGGTGAAAGGTAAATCCAAGATCAAATCCGAAGATTGTAAGACTGATTTTTAAATGCAAACAAGATGGATCGTACGTGAAGTGTCAAATTGTTTTTCTACGTGGTTTCGATGCATTTATTTGTCATTATAATCTATGTTTCCGTTAATTTTAAATCTAGAGCGTCACACGTACGGCCTTGATGATCACCATATATTGTTGTAAGTAATTGTAACCTCTTTTCTTCAATGCTTTTCTTGTATTCCTTATTTTTATTTTTCTCCTCAATTGATTACCTAAGTTCTTTCTTCTTTTGAATTTGTGTGTCATGTGTTGTATAAGGTATATAACTTGGTTATTTTTAGATTGAATCAAGTGTAAAGTATTCTATCGTCATTTAACACCTTGCCTTTTTAGATTAGATGAAATATGAGGTCTTCTTCATTTCTTTTATGAGGATTGAACATTTGAAAGTGTTCTTGTCAAAATGTCACATTCTTGCCCTTACCCTGCATTATTTCAAGTAATTGTGATATTATTTGGGATATGATTGAATTGCTTACTCAAGGTATTAAATTATAATTAAATAAGTTGTTGGTGAGCATACAAGTACAATTGAAGATGAACAAGAAAAGTAAATAGTTCCTCAGGTTAAGGCACATATATCAATTTATCTTTAAGGAGATTTATAACTTGCTTGGTCAAGATGGTAAAGTAAGCTTATTTTGAAAAATGTTAGTAGTATTTTTTTTTTATGAGAAGCGGTTTATATTTAGCTAATCAATTTAAAAAGTATTTTTGAGCAACAATTAGTGTTTCACCAGATTTTGACCACGTAGGACTCATTTGTCTACTTGTTCAAATTTATACAAGTTTATGTGTCTACTTGTACACACCCAAAGTTGGAGGGCATAATTAAACGTGCCCTTTAACTTGGTTTCATCTGACATTTACACCCTCTAACTTCAGATGTGTACAAGCAGACACTTGATCTTGTACAAAATTAAATAAGTAGACACATTCATCCTATGTGGCGTCCTACATGACAATTTTGTGTCCTATGTGGCGTCTTACGTGTATTATGCCATGTAGAACACGTACATTTACTTGTTCAATTATTCATAAGTTTAAATATTTACTTATTCACATCCAAAATTTGAAAACATAAATATCAGTTAAAACGGAAGGATGGTTTTTGATTATTTCTTGTAGTAATATACATCCATTCACTTTTTTTTAATTTTTATGGGACGGCTGACCTAGGGTTTTAAGCCAGCAGCTGCGCAGCTCTCATGGCTGCTACGACCACTGGATGGCCTCCTTTCGAGGCTGTCCAGCCCGCCCCACCACCCAAAACCACCACATACGCCACTCTTTTCAATTCCAATACTATAAATCCTAAACAATCTGCCCTAATTAACTAAAAAACAATCGCAAAATCAATCGAAATAATTCATGGAGAACCTACTATCACGTTTTCAATGGAGGAAAGGCAAGACTTTATGATTGAAGAGGGATTGCATCAAGCAGTGGTGTTTAAATTATCCCATGGTGCGCCAGATTTGAAGGTATTAAGGTCAATTTTACCGAAACATCTTGGTACCAAGGGCAACTGTTTAATTGGTTTACTTGCTCCAAGACAAATTTTGTTGAGATTTGATCAATATGAAGATTATGTACTAGCATTATCTCGCTCAGTTAATTATCTTCTCTACAATGGAGAGGAGCACCAATGTAGGGTTTTTCTATGGTCCATTGGATATAATCCTAAGGAGGAAACGACGTTAGCTGTGGTTTGGATTTCTTTACCAAACTTATCTCCAGATTTGTTTGCAAAGAAGTCTTTGTTGTCTATAGCATCGGCAGTTGGGAAACCAATAGCTATAGATAAAGCTACTCAAATCAAGTCAAGACCTAGCACAGCTAGGGTCAAGGTTATACTTAATCTAATGGAAAAGCTTCCAAATCGTATAAGGTTGCAGTTTGTGGATGGAAAATCTGGTAAGTTGATCAAGGTTTTTCAGGAGATTGTATATGATAATCTACCTTTTTATTGCAATTATTGTAAGCACCAAGGTCATGATGAAGATAGTTGTCGTTTGATCTAAAAAAGAAATCAAAATAACAAACAAATTGATGATACCATTGAAGTTGCTACAAAAGGTACTATTGATAGTGAAAAGTATCAAGGTGATGCGAGAGAAATACTAAATGAAAAAAGAAAGGTTATAGATATCAATCAAAGTAAAGCTACTTTGTTAGATCGGCAGTTGGTTGATGTCCATTCTGAGCAAAATCGTGCACACTCAATGGATGTTGTTACAAGTAATATTGGTGTTCAAACAACGACCAAAAACAAAAGGGGAACGCCAAGAGTTGGGGTTGATGCACCGCGAGTTGGTTCAGGCAAAAAAATAATGGATTCAGGACACAAACTAATGGATACATCTGATGTTGAAGATGCTGAAAATTCTGGGCAGCATGTTTTGCAAGTTGAAACCAAGAATGCAACTAAAAATTGGACACTGGTTGCACACAAAAATTCAACTAGTAATCGGAGTCTTTCCCCGACTAGTCAAAATAATTCTCCATGTAGTGAAAAGGGTGCGACTGGAAATTTTTATGACAGTGAGAAGAGGCAAGATATTAGTAATGCCTCAAGAGACCTATTATGTTCGAATAACTTTGATGCTTTATCGAAGAATACTGGACAACAAGTAAAGTTAACAGAGAATGACAACGATTTGATCAAAGAAAAGCAGGTCTCACCACTTACTTTGAATAGCAAATTAAGTCCAGAAGCTCCCGTATTTGTGCCTAAATGTGTGATTGCAAAGAAAAATGAGTCAAGGGTCTTAGTGTCAAATACAATTGATTTGGGAGAGGATTTTCTTGATGAAAATGAGGAAGACAATATGCTTGATTTTGGCGAGGATTCTCTTGATGAAGATGAGGAAGATATGCTGGACATGTGCTTTGATAGAGTGGCTAGGGAGGGAGATATATCACCTAGGCAACAAAGAAGTAGAAGAAACAAAAGCAAAAAGAAGACACATGGAAGGCAACATAGTTGGGACGGTAAAATGACTGAGGAGTTTGTTCCAAGGCACCTACCGATGCGACAGGCAAAGCAGAACCATTTGACAGTATCAATAGGTTCAACAAGGTCCAATAAATCCATAAAGAAAGTATGAATTATCAAGTGTTGTTGGATAGGTTTGAAGAAGAAGACAAGAGAAAAATACTTCAAGTTACTTTTGATGGGCAATCAATCTTTTTTAATTCATGCGTTTGCAATAGAAAGTTTGAGGCTGATAACTCAACTTTTTTCTTGATTGACATATTTTTACATTATTTAAGCATCCTCATTTGTAATATCATCATTGAATGTATTACAAACTCTGTGGTGATCAGAAAATACTTAGTTCTCTCTAGCTCTTATTTTCTTCATGTTTGTTAGGTAGTAGACACTTCATTAGGATTAGTAAGGTAAGGCCTAGCCCCCCTTGCTTGCACTTATCCCTATTGATATTTTTTATGTTTAATAAAAGGCCACTAGACACTATCTAGTGGTAAATTTGCGGAAAAAAAAAAAAAAGTTTTTCGGAAATTTTTAACTACACCACTATCAAAACATAATCTCCAACTTGTCTTGGTAAAATAAAACCTGACAACCAACAATTCAGATACTCAAGTAGGTATCCTTGGTGGATGATTTTCTCGATCCTCTATCGAAATCATATTCCAGCTTCATTCTAATGCTAGGTGTCTCTTTGTTATTAGAAGTCACGTATAAGATAACTTTTTCGTAATACACATTTATTCCGACAAAATCACTAATTAAAATAAAATAAGCAAATTTATAAAATATGATTAAAATGAAGCCGGAGTAGATAGGCATTGCTCTCATCCGTGCATGAAAACAACTACTGACAGTTGAATCAGGGGCGTAGCTATGTTATAGTCAAGATGTCTAATTGGACACCCTTTATCGAAAAATAATATCGTATATATAAGTAAAATTATATATATATTTTGGACATTCTTAATAGCAGAGGCGAAGCTAGGTGGAATTTTATGGGTTTGATCGAACCTAGTAGCTTTTTCGTAGACCCTGTATTTGTACTAGAAAACTAATTAAATATATATGTATATTAACCTATGAACCCTTAACAAAAATTAATTAACGATTCAGTGAACTCCCAAACTCTTAATCCTGATTTCGCCTCTGCTTAATAGAACAAAGTGCTCCGCCCGGGGTTGAATGAATACTTGTTGCTGACCATAGGCACCGGTCTACCTCGGCGTCCATAAGATTAACGACGTCATCTTAATCTTAAAATAGTAATTTATAGGCATATTTTGACAAAATAATTAAAGCGCCATAGTTGACTGGACGCATAAAATGACAAACCATACAGGGATGGGGCCACAAATAATTTCCAAAAAATAAAAGAAAGATCACATGCTAGTGTTTGAATTAGAATTTCTATAATTCGAGAAATATCTTTTGTCAACTGTATCTTGGTTGAGTAATTTTAAGATAACGATATAATCATACTAAATTGACCGTTACATGAAATGAGATTTTTCTAATATTTTCTTCCTTAGTTCATAATATCAGTAGTAAATAAATGTTGTCGATCTTAGGTAAAATTTTGTTATATTTATGAATAACATTATCTTTCACAAAACATGATCCCTGTTTTCCCTTTTGTGGACCCTTACTAGTGGAAGTGCTATCTCATATCAGGTTGAAGTAGTCATGATTTTCACTAAAGGGTTTGAAATATAAAATATAATTATTTAAGAGGTTAAAATGGATTCAACCTCTACTATATATATGTAAAATATAATTTTAATCATGTGTATAATTTTCTGCAAAAGAAAATTCGAATGAATCTTATCGGTCCTTCCTAGCTCCGTCCCCTTGTACATGTATACATTATCTAATCTATAATATCCTAGCTTTTATTTGCCCAAGTGTGCCGTCTCCCCTTCCCCTAATAATTACGATAGATCTATTTTGAGTCTCTTTCAACTTTGGCCATCATATTAGACCGCAGACTATGCTTTTTTAATAGGCCATGCTATTTTCAAACATTTTTTACTAACATATCTTCATGTCAACTAGCTTCAGTGTAACTAATGAATTGATAGACTATATATATGTTGGCATGCCCTCTGTTGTTTTACAGAATAATTGACTCAATTTCCATCAATCCACGATTTTAAAATCTTACTAATAAGAAATTGAAGGGATGGCACAAATTGGAGATGGAAGATGGTCTCTTCATGGCATGACTGCCCTTGTTACTGGTGGTACTAGGGGCATTGGGTAAGCAACATAAATAATTTCGAGAACTTTTCCTCTGTTTTTTGAGAGTTTAATTTGGAGTTGATTTATTTAATTATTCGTCTTTACTTATGATTTAGGTATGCCATAGTTGAAGAATT